CTCTCTCTCTCTCTCTCTCTCTCTCTCTCTCTCCCCCCACCCTCGGCTCCTCCCCCGGCTCGTGCTTTCTCCCCTTATGAAATCCTTTATGGGTGTCCTCACCCCCATTATCCAGGGCATAAGGGGGGATCTAAATGAGATAGACAATCTAACCCTAAAACAACAGATGCAGGCCCTTGGCCTTACCCTAACCACCTTACACCACTGGGTCAGGGAACGATTACCTGTGAATCTGACCACAGACGTTCACCCCTTTAAACCAGGAGATGCAATATGGATAAAGGAATAAAATATCCAACCCCTAAAACCATTCTGGAGGGGCCTGTTCACTGTCATTTTGTCCACCCCACCTGCACTACAGGTAGCCGAAGTGGGTCCCTGGATTCACTACAGCAGAGTGAGGCCAGCATCTCGAAACTGGGAGTGCATTACTGATCCACCAACACTGTGCAAGCTGACCATATGGAAGAAGTAATCTGCAACCCCAGAGGCTCTGGGAGACTGCAGCCCTGCTTTAGCCACTCCGGAAGCTAACTATGCACGGCAGAAGTTTGAGGGATCGACAGTTCGATGAAACAAAAGACTGTCCTTATTTTCTATATGTTTCCTTACTGTGATGCACTGTCACTCCCCGTTTCTCACTATTATTGTGATTCTTGCTCTACTCTTTGCCATAGGATTGGCCGAGGCCCTCCCCGGCCGGCTAAAAATATGAAGCGAGGTTTCTGTTAACACTCACCTTCTTTTTGTGGATAGAATACTTTGTTGGTACCAACATGGGGAAACAATGGACATAAGAGACTAAAAAATTAGATCCCCACAAGCCTTATAGTAGGACAAAACACCCCAGTCCTACTATCCAGGCTTGGCTTCTTAAAAGCTCAATTATTGGGAAAAAAAACTGTCCTGCCTAGTGCAGAAAAAGTTCACCATCGTCTCTGTTCAAAACTTAATGTGCCTAGGCCAAAGATTTTATAACGCAACTACCCAAAAAAACCCAATGATAGGGGACCCCAGATAACCTTGTCTAAATTGTCTCATCTCTGAGAGGCCTGGGACAATGTCAATGTGGCCATCAAATGGCAGGCCTCAGGTGGACTATACTAGATATGTGGGAGAACAGCCTATATAAATAAACCTCTAAACCAAGGTGATGCTCTTTGACCCTAAATAAAGGGGTCCGAGCATCCAAGGGGGGGGGGGATGTCATAGGGTGTCCTTCCTAAGGAAAGAAAAAAAAACCCTCAACCTTGCTATGTACTTGACAACATCCTTTGCGACCTTGTAACATGAGACCACTTAATCAGACTATGTGTTATCATATATGAGAAACAAAGAAGTAAAAAATATATAAAAAACTACCCCACGTGGCGTTCGGGGCTCAGTTGTTTGGATACGAACCCAACTGAGCGGTGCCACTGGCAGGAATATAAATTGCTTCCAGGAAAGAAAAGCCTCGGTGTCGGTGTCACGACTATCAGTGCGAGAATCCTGCTACACTCTCACTGATCTCTCAGTATTTACTTGGGGAACCGATTTTTTTATCCTGGCTCAGGTAGAAAGGACAGCATTCTACAATTGTTATATGAACTCTTAAACTCAAGTTGGCAGCATAACCATTTACAGAAACCAAATATTCTCTCTTTTGGCTCCAACCGTGCCATTAATCTGAATCATCCCGTGTACTGACCGAAGGCTATAGAAGTGCAGCACCGGCAGGACTGGGCTCACTGTAGGTGACCTGCACGATTTCCAATCGTGCACGCCGAATCAGAGTTGCAAAATCCAAGGAAAAGGCCATTTTCCCGCAGGGCCCCGGAAGCCGGGCGCCACTTTCCCAGGCAGGCGTCCTCAAGTTCCCGGATCCTCACCCGCCGGTGGCGCGGTGACGGGAGTTTCCCCAACCCCGCCCGCCCTGGCTCCCACACCCAATGAGCGGCTGCGGGCCTTTTTGGTGGGCGGGGCGCGCCTTAGGAGCCTTCCCGGTAGGCCTGCGGCCGGCGCGGCGCCTGACGTCTTTCCGTTCTGTCACGTAGCGGTTAGGGCGTGGCTTCCGCTCCGGGCGCCTGAAGGAGACTTGGAGGGGTCCGGGCCCCGGCGCTTGAGTTGTTGGGAGTAGTCGTCGCCGCTTCTGCCGGCAACCCATGAGGAAAATGCTCGCAGCTGTCTCCCGCGTGTTGTCGGGCGTCGCCCAGAAGCCGGTGAGGCGGCGTGGGCGGCCCGGGGTAGGGCCCCGGCGGGGCTGAGGCGGGGCCCGGGTCCAAGGCGAGCCGGACGCTGGAGAACGCGGGAGGACGGCCCGGGCCTCGGGGCGCGCGGTTTGGTGCCGCCTAGGGCGCTGCGGGGCGTCCGGGGAGCCGCGGGTCTTTTGTTTTTGCTTTCGCACCGTGCATTCCGCTCCGACTCCGGGACAAGGGGCTACTGGGCCCTTCGGCGGTTAATGGGGACGGGAGCTCCGCAAAGTCCGCGTGGAGGTCAGCCGCGGCTCCTTGCGCCTGCTAAAGCTGGTGTGCTCCAGAAATGCCCGTTCATTACTGCAGACAGAAAAGGGGGCCTTGGGCTTCCTCGAGTCTCCAGTTGATCCTGCCCATTTATTTTCAGTCTTCCTAATTTTATTCCTCTTGACTGAGAGGCCATATAGTACGTTAAGAGTGTGAAATCCGGAAACTGGTCGTGTTCAAACACCTGCCTCACCATTCACTAACCCTGTGACCTTGGGCAAGTTTTTTTAAACCTCTGGTGCTCAGTTGCCCTATCTCTAAAGGGAAGATAATACGTACGAGTACTTACCCCATGAGGTTGTCGTGAGGCTTAAACGCGTGACACGTATGTAAACCTTTCCAAATAGTGCCTGGTACATAGTAGGTGCCATCTGTGTTCAATGTTATTTCAGTGCCCAGTGGGTATACATTTATGGAACACCTGCATTCAGCTTTGGAGGGTTAAGACCGGGTCATGCTCACCAGAAAGCACCCCCCCCCC